ATAAAGATAATAAAGACTGTAATCAGAGATAAGTTTAAGTGATAGGAAAGAGTATGTGAACATGAAAGAAAGATATGATTGGTATATAAGAAGATTTTGAGTTATGAAGAAAATGAAAGGATGAAGTTTAAAGAATTAGATGTGATAAAGATTATGTTGAGATATAGGTTATAAGTTTAACCAGAAGTAAGAAAGGTATGTCAGGTAATATGAGAAATTGTTTAGTTCTGCAAAGTGTATGTTTAATTAGTTATGATGAAGATTTAAGGTTATGTTTCTTGGTCAAGTGGATGTAGTCAAAGAAATGAATAAAGATTTATATGTATTAAGGAAGTTTTGGAGTCAGTCAAGTAAGGGTGAAATAAAAGTTTGGTGATTCTTGAAAGACAATTGAAGATTGACAAGAATTTGATTGATTTATGAGTTGAGTAATAAGAATTAATGTTATTGTCTATCTGATAAGTGACATATAGGAGATATAAAGTAAAAAGGTAGTCGAATAATTGAAAAGATAAGAACCAAGTATTAAGATGATACAAAAGATTAAGTTCAGAAAGCAGCAGAGAACGTTAGAAGATATGTTTTCTCAGGATGTGCAGTGAAAATTCGAGGACGAATTTTTAAAAGGAGGGGAGATTTGTAACATCCGCAATACCGGGTTAGTGACCAAATTGTAAAATTTCAGAATTTGATGATTAAAGTAGAAGAATGAAATAGTTCAATGATTATTGGATATATACGATGAAGGTTATTTAGTTATTAAAGGAAATAAAGGGAAAAAGGTCAATTGACCAGAAATGAATTAAAAATGGGATTGGTAAGGATTATACACGGGAAAGGAGAGAATTCTCCATAGTTCTCTTCTCTTTCTTCTCCTTCTTTACGTGGAAGCCAAGAGCAAAGGTAAGTTTGATTTAGCTTTTGATTTCTCGAAATTTTAAGTTGGATTTGAGTCTTTGGGGGTTATATAAGCTTAAGGAAAGCTTATATAAGTTTAAAACACCAAAGAGAGAGAATTAGAAAGGAATTTCTATTAAGGGTTTATAAATGAACTTTTGTTATAGAAAGGTTTTTGAAGTTCTAAAGTTGGATTTGACTTGTCAAGGGTCTAATTAAGAAGTTAGAAGCAATTGAATGGAATTTGGAACATGTTAGAAATTGAGTATGATTCTTGAATTTCCATATGAAAGATGAAATTTAGAGGTTAAAGATGAGATAAATGAATATTAATGAGTTTAAGTATGTATATGTAAGTTAGGAATATGAAAGGGGTTGAAATATGAAGGATTTAATCCAAAAAGAATGAATTTTCGGGTTCAAAAAGAGGTTCTGGGCAGAGCACATCGATGCACATTCATAGTGCATTGATGCATCAAGGTTAAAACCCAGAAATCGTTTGAAGGTGTATCGATGCACAGAAGTGCATCGATGCACTCTTTAAATAAATACATCGAATGCAATTGGCATCGATGCATAAAGTGCATCGATGCATCCCAGTAATAAACAAACACGAATGTATTTTATGCACCGATGCACAGGTAGTGCATCGATGCACCGATAGGGAATGCATCGATACACTGTGCAGTGCATCGATGCATCCTTCATTAAAAGATGAAAGGGTTTTCTTTTAGCTAAGAAGTGGCAATTTATAAGATATCAATTAATATACTTATATGTATCAATGTATTATTATGATGTAGATATAGAATGAAGCTTGTTCCGGAACAATCTAAGGATTAAGATTGATTCAAAGCAAACAAGGCTAAGGTGAGTGCACATTCTCTAGTATATGAGGTTCAAGGGAAAATAAGACTTGTGATAAGTCTTTTCCAATAGTGAAAAACATGAATTCATAGAAGTATGTATTTCTTATGATTTATATGTGTGCATGAGTATATGTGTTATTGATATGAATATGGTAAGTAAAAGGGATTAATGGTGATGATATAATAATAAGGATAATGAATGATATATATATGAATATAGGTATTGATGTTTTTTGTATGTATTGTAAGATGATATGTTATGTGATAATGATAAGATGACAATGATTTACATGTCTATGAACACATGAGAAATGTTATGAGCCATATGAAGAGAAGTGTATGTGATACATGAGGGTGAATCCTATGTTTATATGAATATGAACTCATATGAGAATTGACATGAACTACGTAATTACATGTATATGTGAATGAAACCATGAAATTATATGAATATGATATGGTTACATGAATATGTAAAGGATATAAAAGATAATGCCCATGTTATGTGTCATGAGAGCTAGGGGTATAGTTGGCATGCCAAGAGTCGAGGGTCTATGTGGTCCTTCGGGACATATATGTATTCTTTGGAACATGTGTGAAGTCTGGTGAGACATATACTTGATCCTTGGCATATGTATATGATCCTTAAGGAATGATATGTGTCCTTTGGGACATATATGTATTCTTTGGAACATGTGTGAGTCTGGTGAGACACATACTTGATCCCTAGTATGTATATGATTCTTAAGGAATATGTGGTCCTTATAGACAGTACTATATGGCACTACGGTGCAATTCTACGCGGCACTCCTGTGCAATTATATGTGGCACTTCGGTGCAATTATATGAGCTGTGGTGACATTAGTGCACAACCTCTATGTACTCGCATATCTTTAGTTCTCACATGAGTATCATGGGCTATTAAATAGATAATTTAATAAAGTGATATGATAATATGTTTGTTTCCTTGTGGAATTTCATGTGTGATATTGATTGTACAAATGGTAACCTATAAGACCATATGATGAAAGGAATCAATGATAATGATAAAATAAGAAAGAAATGAAGATGATAATATAGTTGCTTGGGTACTGTTTATGATAGTATATATATGGTTTACATGACATGATATGATATGTGCAATTGGTTATGATATATGTTATATGATATGGACATAAGATCATAAGAACATGAATAAAGATATATGATGACATATATGTATGCAATATTTGTACATGTAAAAGTATGAGTGGTATGAATGATAGTAGTAATTGTTTAGGTATTATTAGTTACCGTTTACCTTATGTTTATATGCCTCACTAAGTCTTTGACTTAGCGTATGTATTCTTTGAAACATGTGTGAAGTCTGGTGAGACACATACTTGATCCTTAGCATATGTATATGATTCTTAAGGAATGATATGTGGTCCTTCGGGACATATATGTATTCTTTGGAACATGTGTGAAGTCTGGTGAGACACATACTTGATCCCTAGTATATGTATATGATTCTTAAGGAATGATATGTGGTCCTTATGGACAGTATTATATGGCACTACGGTGCAATTCTACGTGGCACTCCTGTGCAATTATATGTGGCACTTCGGTGCAATTATATGAGTTGTGGTGACAGCATTAGTGCACAACCTCTATGTACTCGCATATCTTTAGTTCTCACATGAGTATCATGGGCTATTAAATAGATAATATTAATAAAGTGATATGATAATATGTTTGTTTCCTTGTGGAATTTCATGTGTGATATTGATTGTACAAATAGTAACTTATAAGACCATATGATGAAAGGAGTCAATGATAATGATAAAATAAGAAAAAAATGAAGATGATAATATAGTTGCTTGGGTGTATGTGTTTTATGATAGTATATATATATGGTTTACATGACATGATAATTTCTTATTTTATATTTTTATTTTACTTTAATCTAATCCTCTCATCCGAATCCTTTTAAAATCTACTCAAGACTCACTGTTTCGGAACTGACCACCTAGTCCCTTAAAGATGAGGACAATCACTCCGGCAGTTAAAGCTCACAACACTAAGGTAAAATCTCTTTCCTCCCTTTTCAATTTTTTTTATTTATTTTGAAACACACATGCACACACAGAGAAAACGGGAAAATGAAAACAATAAAAAAAATACCTTGAACCCAAATTATATTTCTATTGCTTTCGATTTTTTTTTTGAATACAAAAGTGAGATTCTTGCTACAATGTTTTATGTAGGCTTTTCGAAGGGTGAATGAAAATTCTCCTTGTCTCCTTTGCTTTTCTGTTGAAAACCAAGACCTCTCTATCGTTCTATCGTTGGTGAAAATTTCTCGTTTTTTTCTTTGTCTCTCGCTTCCCCTGATAATTTTTTTTCTTCTCACCACATGTTTTTCCCTTTTCTTTGAATCATCTGCGTATTTTATGGTTGATATCTTCACCGAATCTCTTTGGATGCATCTGGAATTTCTTTGTGTTTGGTATGAAAATGACAAGTTTAGGTATGATTTAGGTGATCTGCTTTTGACTTTGCTAATATCTTTTATTTATTTTGCTGTGTGGTGACCAACATGGTGATGATGATGTTTCAACTTGCTCGGAGGTGACTCGCTTTAGTGACTCGTCGGTGGAGAGGCTTGGTACTGTTGTTGATCTGGGTCTGTTGGGTTGCTTATAATTGGGCCACATTTGGTCTGCACAAAAATATAAACACACTTAATAATAATAATAATAATTTAATAATATTCTTTAACCCTGACAAAAAATAAGTGTCTACAATCATCAACATTATCACCAACGTAAGAATGGATAGGGAGAGCTTGTTGTACTCATAAAAATTTTAAATTCTCATTTATGTATTTTCTTTATATTTTCTATTTCTCATTTAAAATTTGATAAATTAAACTCTTCTTCAAATTTAATAGTACACTAACATCAAATTATGTGTATCTGAATTCCAAAGTATTCATATCCGGAACATATTCCGATATAGGATATGATCCTTGGAAGGTATATGTGTTTCAAAACTATTCCTACAGATGTCATCACTCCTAAACCCGAACCCGAATAACATAAGATTTTGACTAAATTCGTTCATGGTTGACACTTTCAACCATTATCTTCCCTATCCAGAAGAGAAATCAGTTTCCACGGCAGCTTAAAACGGCACAAATGGACCACGATTCAAATCAACAAGTTAAAAGGCAGTGTTTAAGAGTGTTACCAATTCTAGCAAGGCAATTAACCCAGCTGGGGATTGGACTCCCAGTCAACCTGATGCAAGCATCGTTGCAGAAATGGTTACAGTTTTTGGTGATTAAGCTGTCAGCATTCCCTTTGAATTCATCTACTAAATCATCCATAACTCCCCTCACATCTGCAGGCCCCAACTCCGTTTTCCCGATCAAAATTGTTTTCCTAAAGGTGAACCCATCGCACTGTTTTGGTTCTGCCTCAGATATCCCACTTGTTGGATATTCGTGAGCCCCAAACGCATATTCAACCCCATGAATGCCGCCCCAGAAAAGACCCCGTAAATCAACAATCCAAAAACACAAGATATGATGTTAATAGATCTATACGATATTTTTAGAATATAAATGTCAAATATTTTTTCTTTTATTTTGATTTTGATCCTTATAAACACTAAATTTTTCATTCTAATTCTTTGTTATTTTTTTTTGAATAAAATGTCTATTAGAACGTGCTTTTTTAAAAGGGTTAATTACATGGATAGTAACTTATCTTTGTGTTTTGTTCACTTGGTCACTAATTTTAAAAAAAATAGATATGGTCACTTTTATTTTTATTTAATTAATGTATGGTTGCCTTGAGCTACATGCTGTTAACAACAGTTAAATATTTTGATATATTCATACATTTGGTATTTGTTATTTATATATTCTCTCAATTTAGTCATATTTTTAATAAATTAAAATAAATTATATATTTTTAAATGAAATAAAAATAAAATATTTTTAAATAAAGTTAATAATAAAATATATTTAATAAGTTGATGTAAAAATATTGTAAGTTAATATATATAAAATTCTATTATATATAACTTGGGTCACGGGTACCCAATACATAATTTTTTTTCTTTAAATTATATTATTTTTCAAAAATTTATATAAAAAATTATAAAATTTAAAATTTAAAAGTCTATAATTTATGTAATCCACATTTAAAATTTAAAAATTAAAATTATATAATTGAAATAAAATTTATTAAAAATTAAAATAAAGAAATATAATTAAATTTTAAATGTTTTGAAATTAAAATAAATATTTTAAAAAATTAGAACGTTAATGTAAAATAATTTAAGAAATTAAGAATTTAGAATGTTATGGTATCAAAATTTAAGAAATTATGATTTTAAAATGTTAGAGTAAAATAATTTGAGGATTATGAATAAAAATTTAATATAAAACAGAAACAAAAAATAAAAGTATATAATAAATTGGGTACCGGTTCGGAGGGTACCTAGTTAACCAACATTTTGTGACCATGCTCTGCCCAGAAACCGATCGAGTACCCGACCCGGAAAAACATGTATTTTTATTATAAATACCCGATATTTTTTAATTGTGTCAGCGGGTCAACATGTCAGCTCAATCGAGTCAGGTATTTTTGAACAACCTTACTGGCATGACATGTGACATCGTTTGATTGGAGGATTAAATTTATTTTAATTTATTAAAAGTATGACTAAATTGAGAGAATATATAAATAATATAAATTAAATGTATGATTATATAAAAATATTTAACTGCTATTAACGGTATTTAACTCGTGGTGACCACGTCTTAATTAAATAAAAAACGAAAGTGATCATATCTTAATAAAATAAAAACAAAAGTTACAATGTCTTATGTTTTTTGAAATCGGTGATCAAAAGTAGATAAAATACAAAGATAAGTTATCATCAATGTAGTTAACCGTTTTTAAAAAATACGATCATGTGTGTACCCTTCTTTAAAAAATACTTTGTTTTTAAATAGTTTTAAAAATGTTATTTACGTAAAAAGAAATTATTAAATAGATTATTTTCATTAAAATAATCAATTTCGGACGTTATGTATAATAAAATAAAAAATAATCCAAACTTTGAAAAAAATAGGTATTGGGGTTTGGGAAAAAAATAACGAGGACGGCCACTGTGAGCTTTATTTAACCCAAACTCCTTTTTTATTGGGCTTTTTTTATAAAGCAACGAATAGTCATTATGATACAATTAGATTTCATAGTATTCTAATGGATAAAAATAAGAGTAAATATGTGTTTAGTATCTAAACAATTAATTTTGATATGTTTTATTATTTATATTTAATTTTTTTAAAATCATACTTAACGTTTAGTTTTTATTTTATTTTAGTACCACTATCTTAAAAACTTAGCAGAATTTTTACAATTTGATATTTTTTATGGGTAAATTACATCACTCAACACTCAATTATATTCTCACTCCTATTTTAGTCATTGAAGTTTACTTTTTTAATTTAATTCATTGAAGTTTAATTTTTAATTTAATTACTTAACTTTCAAATTAGTCCTATTTTAGTCACTCTAACTTTCAAATTTAATTTTTTTATTTTAAATATATATTAATCAAATAATAAAAAATATCATGTCAGAAAATATTATTAATAAATTAAATGATATTAAAGCATCATTATTGATTATTAAGACACCTTATTGATTTGACTTCAATTGTTGAAGTTATTGTTTAATTAACGTTTCTATTGATTTAATTTTTACTTCAGTTATAATATTTATGATTAGGATATATTTAATTTTCATCTGATTCTGTTTTATTATGTTAATTCTGATTATAATTACTAAATTTATTATTATAATTCTATTTGCATCACTTAAAAATAAATAAAAAAATATTTTATTACTCAAAACGTGCCCTAAAAGTTGTGGCGAATAAAATATTTTATCAATTTTAATAACGAACTTAAAGACATGAACCACTACTGGATTGGACCGAAATAATAAAGCCCGTCTTCCACATCGGGTTTACATTAAAAAAATGCTTAAACCACGGGGTCTGGCTTCAGCCTCTTAAACCCTAGCAAAAATCCATCGCCAAAGAAGCAGTGCTCCGGTCCAGACTGCATCAATGGCGTGGCTAATCCGACCCTTGAGAAGAACCCTTTCTTCTCCTTGCCTTAAAGCCCTACCCCTTCGTCAACATCCAGATCCCACATCCTTTATCAGCTCCAGAAGCATCTCCGGCATGCGAAACTCTGCTTTTCAAGACAAGATGTTGAGGCTCCTTCGCCAAGAAATCCAATACGAACACGAGCGGTCCGCTCCAAAACAGGTATCGTATCTGGATTTCTGGGTTTTCTTGTTTCTTTAATCATCCCTTCATTTTGGTCTTATTCCTTGTTTAAAACTGCACTTCGAAATTTTGATACTGAAAGAAAATGCCCTCTGCTGTAAGGCTGTAAAATAATTTTACTTCGTTATGAAGGAGCCTAAATTAATATATTCCGTTCTTTAACTTTTCATGGAAGCATTCAGTTTCAATGGAAGCTTAGTAATAGTTTGTTGAATTGAGTGAACAATATTTCTAAAAATAACTTACATTTTGATACCTTGTGGAATTTATTGGTTGTTGCAAGTACGGTTGATTGATTGGACGATAGTTGATTAATATTTAGTTTTCGGCATGATATGTTGTAATTCACGAAAACTGAACTAAATAACCACTTCTCATCCAGAGTTCTGACCATAATTGCAGCCTATCACCAGATTCAATTCTTTCACGGTTGATGACCGGCAGGGCGAGCAATGGATCAAATTGAAAAGAAAATTTGGGGAAAAAGAAGATATTACAATTGATGCAACCATGTTTGATGGGTCGGTTCCCGTCTCTAGTTCAGGTGAAACACAGGATATCGAGCAGCTTCATATGACATTTATTGTGAATATCTCCAAGGGAGGTGATGGTAATATCTTGGAGATCGTGTGCTCAGCTTGGCCAGATACCATAGAGATAAAAAAAGTTTATGTTCGCCAGCATAATAGGAAACCCGGTTATCCTTACTTGGGTCCTGAGTTCGAGTAAGTTTATTTGTTTGCTTTATTTCCTTCATTAGGCAGCTGAAAATCAAAAGGAAAGTAGACACGGTTTGTCTTAAACTGTCATACCTTGTGACAATCCTAATATGAATTATAAATCTTCTTTCCTTTTGCAGCACCTATTGGAATTGTGTTTATTGGCTCGTAGCTTACCTTCTTTTGCTATGTTTTCATCGTGGTCATTACAGGGAATTGGATGAAGAACTGCAGGACTCACTTTATGAATTCTTGGAGGAAAGAAGTATAAATGGTGAGCTTGCAATATTCTTGCACGAATACATGGGAAACAAAGATAAAACAGAGTTCACTAGATGGTTGGAAACTGTCAAAACTTTTGTTGAGAAGAAATAGAGAGATGCTTTTGCCATGTTCATGCTGACTTTTTTCTGTTTTAGTTAACAAAATCATTACTTGCTATTCCAATTTTTGTCCGTGCCTACATCTCTAGAAGATTGTCATTATGTGTAAAGCTTGATTAGAGATGAAGCTAGCTTTGTGCAATTACATTGATGCAACCAAATATCAAGCCAGCCCTTGAAAAGCAGTAGAAACATGGTCACCATTAGATGGATGAAATTACAAACAAAAGTTTGTGATATTGCAAGCATGGATGTATTTCTGATGTGTGTGATTTTATAGTTATTTTACATCAACCCTTTGCATATACTTTTTTTGATCTAAATCTTTTCACTTAGATTTGGTGTTTGATTATTATTGTTTTTTTATGATAAAATATGTTGCATTATTTTGAGTAGGTGTTGACTTTCTTTCTTCCATGTTTTAAAGTTTGTATCCTTGAATCATTTCAGTTTCAGATAATTATATTTCATTATGCAGAATCCAAAGTTTATTAGGTAACATTTGGCATTCAGAATATTTTTTGAAAATTATTATTTTTTCAATTTGTATGATTTTTTTTTTACATTTTAACGATTTTATGAGTTTTTTATAATTTATATTTTAAAGGCTTTTTTTACTTTTATGAATTTTTTAAAAGATTTTTAATTTGTATGATACGTGATATGTTTCGAGTGAATTAAGTAATTTTTAATAGATAATAATATTAAACTAATAGATAAAATAAAATAATAATACATAAGAACAAGTGAGAACGAAATAATATTAGAGAACAAAATTTTGAGGGAAAAAATTTATGAGAGATGAAATGAAAATCAAGTTAAAGAACAAAGTTAATAAGCCTTACTTAAATGAGGAGGGAGTAAAAAGAAAACATGAGATTTGCTCTTAATTATTCAAAGATCTTGTTGCTCAATTATTTTCACCCAACTCCGCGCAATGATAGCTCCATGTTTTTCATGCATCCTTTTCAAACCAAAGAATTTTGAAGTGTTTCTTAATTTAGAGGCAAAATTCAAAAAATAACAAAGGATAAAGCCAGTCCAACACCAAGATTTGACAGTCCATCCGATTTTCGCCAGGAAAGATGGATCTTTCACCTTCTCAATATATATGCACATTGTAATTTTAATTAATCAAGTGAAGCTAAACCACTTGGTCAATTTATCAAAATCCATAATTAATGTGAGCTTGAGATCCTCCCATGACAATTAAACTGTCATTAACTGTGAGACTCTGCTGCTAGTCTACAGCTTGATCCTGAGGAAATCATGGTTTGCACAATAATAATTGATTAAGCATGAATTGATATGATGACGTAGTCACTTAGGTGAGAAATCAAGGTAAATAAGATTTCAACAATCATTTTCATGTTGCGAAATGATGCCATTGGATTTGCACTTCATAACTAGATCTACATCCAATAAATTTAACAGTCCATGTATCGCTTTTATTTATTATATGGATAGAATTTAATAAATTAAAAAGCTTAAATAATTTATATAAATATTTTTATATGTTCTATTTTATTTTTTTTCTTATTTTAAGATAATGATTCTCAATGATTGTCATGGCCGATGAGTTTTAGAATTAAATTTATTTTAAATTTGAATTTATCATTGTCTCTTTAATTGATTGATGATCAATTCTTTTGGGCATATAAATATGGTAGAATACTAATAAAATTGTTTATCATCCTGCTTAGATAACCTTATTTCAAGTCACAATATTTTAGTTATTATCGTAACCGCTTAAATAATATTAATTATTCTTAATAATTTAAATTTGATTATATTATATAGACACTCTAACTTTAGAATAATAGACATTTAAAATTTTGATTATCATGTTATTAATTTCTATTATGATATTTTTAAAATATACATAATTTTCTTTCCTTATAGCCCAAATATTTGATCAAAAGTCCAATCCCTCCGGTATAGATGGTCTATTTTTTCAACTGCGAGATATATTGTCATATGAGACAATGTCACACACAAGAACAATCTGAAATGACAACCTAAAAGTAATCCCGCACGTAGTTTCTGTACTCAATGCTTTGGATCATTATGTTTCCCAATAATTCAATGACTTGATGATAGTTGATAGATTATGTATCTTCAATCCTTTTTTTTTCCTGCCATTGAACTTTATATTTCTTTCGGTTGATTATGGAATTTAAGTTTTAAATATAAAGATTAAATTAGAATGAAAAATTAGACTAAAAGAATCATTTTATAAATCTTTATTTGAATTAATCGAGTAATAATAACATTATCAATATATACACATTTACTTGTTAACTAAGAATAAAATATATAGTAATTGGACAATTGGAGCATAGAAAAATTAGTGAAATGGAGTTGTCTAGCACGCACATTAAAGTGCTTAAGGCAACATTGAAGTTTACAGTTCAAGCCTTCAATTTGAAGAATTGGGAAAGTTTTTTTTAATCAATTTTTTCTTTTCCCAACTTTCAGAATTGCAAATAGCAAAATCAATTAAAGTCCAGAATGCATTTACAAAAAAAAAAAAAAAAAAGGAAGAATGAAACTAGACTATGTATATGCTTAAAGCTTCAAAGACAAGTCGAGCTTCAACTCATCTTTTTTACGGTTGAAATGGTTAACAGTATCCCACAAAAATCCAGCCATTCCCTCCGTGGGCGGACCAAACTTGCCTACACCGCCTTGGAATGTAGCAGTGCCACTAATCCCCATTGGAAGATGGCCGATCGCACGTGTTCGATCAACGGGGCGTCTAGACCATCCACTATGCCATGGAACAAAAGTGGGCTTGAGGATCTTGGAGTGCTCTCCAACTCCTAGTGGTTTATTTAAAGAACAATACAGAGGAAGAGAAGCCATGCTATAATGTTGACCGAAATCGCCACGGGCAATCCGCTGGCCTCGTTTCGCCAGTGTTCTTTCTCGTTTATGTGCATTTTGGTGGCCTCCCAGAGCCTGTGAACTATAAAATTTTCTTTGGCAATAGTTACATGAAAATACTCTGGGCTCAGTTTCTTTACCTTGATCTTGGTCATGATCAAAGGACGAGTCCACCACCTTGAAACAGTCTACGAAATTCAGCTCAGGGTTCGATTCTTGATTGGAGAGGCGCAGGTCCAATACCAGATCATCTTCTTCCTTGTCTTCTTTGGGGGTAGTACCCATGGAGGTTCTGGCCGTGGGCGTTGGGCCATTTGAGGCTGAAACGATGGTTGAAGTTTCAGAGAGGCAAGGCTCAGATGGTATCTGAGGCTCCATTTTTGGGTGTTGACAGTTTTTCTTGGGGTTGATGAGGGAAGGAAAGGGTTTAATAGAAAGGGAGGTGAACTTTTGATGATGTTGTTTATTTAATAATGCAACCGGGCAATCCAAATCCGAATATATAAAGAAAAATGAATGAACAATCGTTTATATAAAATTTTCAATTTTTAAATTTTATTAAAAATTTAGTTTTATTTTTTAAAATTATATAAATTTATTATTATTAATTTTTTTTAAAATTATTCTTTTAATATAAAATTATAAATTCGTCCACGTATATATAAGATTTTATATAGAAAGCGCCTATATATAAGGTTATTATATTATAGTTACAAGGTCTTAATATGGTAAGAGAGACAAAAGAATGAAAGGGAAAGGGCAAGGGAAAAGAGGAAAGAGGCGAGAGGTTAATTAATACGACGTGTATTTTATCAAACATTTAAAACTAACGTTATAATTATTTGTAGAATGTAGCTGATTCTCATCTTGTTGAGTTTCTTCCCATTGGGATGACACTCGCAGAAATTGATTGGATCCATAAGACATTTTCAGTCTGTGAATATGATTCAGAAGTGGTACTTAATTGGGTATTGAATTATAATCAACATTGATATCTACAAATGAAGAATTTATATTAAAATAAATTAATTTAATTTTAAGTTAAAACGAATTTATAAAATTTTAAAGATAAAAATAAATTATTAAAAAATAAATAACATTTTTAAAATTTTAAAAGGAAAGATGACTCTCAATTATTCCACCATTCATCCGGGTCCATGGTATATCTGGAACATTGGTGATTGCATGCTAGATTCAGAGAATTTCAAAGTGTTAAGTGTCCTTGTCCACTTAAAAATTTATTCTATATAATTTTAAAAAATTTATATTATAATTCAAATTTCCTGACTTTTTGTATTAAAAGCAAGGGTAAACTACAAATTTAGTATCTAAATTATCAATTTTGGTTCATATTAGTATCTAAACTTTTATTTTTTTCAAATCATACTAAATGTTTAATTTTAATTTCTTTTAGTACGCCGTCGTTAAAAACATAATGTGTTTAGTACCTAAATTATCATTTTTGTCTTTTTTAATATAAACTTTCCATTTTTACATAACTTAATGTTAAACAAGGTACTAAAAACTAAAGTTTTTAATGGCGGGATACTAAAATAAAATAAAAAATAAACTTTATGTATGATTTAAAAAAAATGAAAGTTTAGGTAATAAAATGGATCAAACTTGATAGTTTAAATACTAAACACATAATTTACCCTAAAAGTAAAGATGGACAAAGAGGAACATGCTAAACTAGGGGTGCTGAATGAGTTGATAGCTCGAACTCGATTCGGTAAAAGCTCGACCGGGTTGACTCAATCCGATCTCAAACTCGATTCGGGACCTTAACGAACTGAGTCGAGCAAAGTCCAACTCGATTTGATAAGTTCACGAGTAACTCGTTATTTTTTTAATAATTTTTAGTGGTTATTTTAAAATTTATTTCATTCAAAAATCACTACTTTACTAATAGATACTAAAAACATGATAAATGACTAATCTATTTATTATAGTATTAGTAGATTTTACTATAGTTAAAAAGAATAAGATAAAAATTTTAGTGATCTTAACGAGCAACGAGTTTAATGAGCATGAGTCGAGCAAAATTTTAATAAGCTTATTGGTATTAACAAATGAATTGTATCTTATATGATAATCAACTTATTGGTCCCGTTTTAGAGTTTTACATTATATTATTTGGATAAATTACTCTACACATATCATTCAATTATTAGTAAAATTATAAATGAATTATTCAAAATAAAAAATTATAAACGAGTCATTCAATTAATTATTTATCTAAAACATATTATCTTATTGTCAAAATAAAATGAAAATTAAAAGATGTTAAGAAACATTTTTAATGATTTTTTATAAGTTAAA